AATAAAAGGAATAATAAATAAAGATGGTTCTAAGATAAACTTGCGGAGAAAAGGTTGAATTTCACCGACGTAAACAGTCTCTTGGATTTCATAATTTAATGCCTGCCTTTCATCATTCATTCCCTCCACTCCTATGGTTTCCTTCCTGTTCTTCTTCTTCTTCATGTACCCCCACCCCCACCACCACCACCGCCACCGCCGCCATCCTCATTATCGCATAAACCACCCCTTTTTCTTCATATCATCCATCCTCTCTACCGCCGCGAATGTAATCCCACCACCGCCACCACCACCGCCATCACCCTAACCAACTTCCTTCATTCTAACATCATCATCATCATCCATCCCGCAAAATCGACCCAAATAATAAAATATTCACTTTTTACTTGTCAAGTTACCGGATTTTTTTTTTTTTCTCTTTCTTCCTTTTTTTTTCATCCCTTTTTCTTTTCTTTTCTTATTTTTAGCTTAGAAAAAAAAAGAAAAAAGAAAGATTTTTCACTTAAAAAGTTTTCTCTCTCTCTCTCTCTCTTTCTTACTTTTTTTTTTGAAAAAGAAAAATATCGAAATTTTTTTTATAAAAGAAAAACGTGTATGTATAAATTTATGGGGATGAATGTCAATGAGATTTAACGAAACTTGTCCGGGGAGGTAGGGAGAAGAGGAGGGTAGGATAGGAGCGAGGAGAGAACCTAATAATAATAATAATATCAAAGATGTGGGGGAGGGGGTAAATATCATTATTAAATTAATAATAATAACAAAAAAAATTAACAAAATTTTACCTTATTGTCAATCCAATTAATTTCAAAATAATAATAATAATAATAATAATAACTTACACGTCAAACACTCGAGGCTATACAAAATCCACAAACGGTTTTGTTTAAAAAAAAAAAAAAAAAAAAGGGGGGGGGAGGGGGAGGGAAATGATAATAACAAAATCATAAAATGTTTTTTTAATTAAATTTAAAAAAAAAAAAAAAAAAAAAAATTCAATTTCGAACGCGACCCGCCATTTTTTGTTTTGATTTGATTTGATGGACAACGTTAAATACAATTTTCTGTTTTCGACATCAAAAGAAATTAATTAAGAGTTTTAATTATAACAACAACAAAAAAAAAACTCAAACTCACGCACAAAAAGTTAAACTTTTATTTTTAACAAAAACAATAATTAAAGACATTTTTTTTTCAATTATAATTTTCCAACACTTGTCATCATCCAAACGTTCGAAACAAACAGTAGAAGAAAAATTAACGGGTACGATTTGACGTAATTATGACGTCATTACAACTAAAACTACTACTCTAATCAATCAAACTACTACTACTACTACTCTAATCAATTAATGATTTATTTCAAATCAATAACAACAACAATTTTCTTTTCTTAAAAAAAACTTTTTCACGATGAAATTTTTATCTGTTTTTTTTTTTTTTTTTTTAGGAGATAAGAAACCACGAGTGGATAATTCGAAAAGTAAAAAAAAAAAAGTAAAAAAAGTTTCCCAAAAGTAACATAAATTATAAGTTGAACGAGAGAGAGAGAGAGAGAGAGAGAGAGAGAGAGAGAGAGAGAGAGAGAGAGAGTACTTACCTTGATAATGTTTTAGTTTTTGCTCCTGAGGGATGAAACGAAACACCAACGAACGAAGCAACAGTCAAAATGAACAAAATCAACCGTAAAAACTTTTTATCACTTTTTAAAAAATACTTTTTTTTTAAATAAAAAACGCGAACTCACAACACTTTTAAAAACAAAACACTACGATTATACTTTACTATTATTATTATTATTATTATTATTATTATTATTTTTTTTTTTTATAAACAATAACTTATTCTCTTACTTTTTTTTTCAAATTGATTCTTCGCACTAAAGCAAAAAAATTAAAAAAAAATTAATCAAATCAGCAACTTAATGAAAAATCTCTTTCAATTCTTACAATGGATGACTTGATTAAAAAAAAAAAAAAAAATTTTTCCTTTTTTTCCTTTTTCTTTTTTCCTTTTTTCCTTTTAAATATTCTAATTAATTTAAAAAACGAAAAAAAACGGAAAAAAAAAAAAAAAAGTTTTTCACTTAATTATTTGATTTAACAAAAAAATTAAATAATTTACTAACGTATTTTTTTTTTTTTTCATGTTCTAAATTAATAAAATAAAATAAAATAAACACGATAATGATAACGATAATTGTTAACTCTCTTTACGATTGTAAATAAAAAAAAAAGTCGTCTGCTATGCTACAAACAACAAACGTTCTTTTACGAAAAAAAAAAAAAATATAAAAAAATAAATTTTTTAAAAAAATTAAACCGATTATTCATTCCTACTTTAAATTCGTCTCTCTCTCTCTCTCTCTTTTTTTTTTTTAACAAACAAACAAACGGGATTGTTTGTTTATACAAACGTAATAATAAATAATTAATTTAATTCGATCGTAACAAACAAACAAACGAACGAAGAAAAATTAAAAATTTTTATCCCCGAAAAATATCAAAAAAAAAAAAAAAAAAAAGCAAATCAATTTTTTTACTGTACAAAAAAAAAAACGATTCAAATCATTCATTCATTCATTCAGTCAGTCATTCAATCAATCATTCATTAATTCACTCATTCAATCGATTAATTAATTAATTAATTAAAACCCGAAATTTTAATCCGTTTATTTTTCGATATAATTTTTTTTCGTATTAGTAGTTTTCGATAAAACCTTCCCCCCCCGTCCCCCCCACCGGAAAAACGATGAAAATTTTAAATGTTTTTTTTTTTTTTTTTTTTTTTTTTTTTTTTTTTACGAATGTTTAATTTTGTTTCTGTCACTGATAAATTACCAGACTATGAATTATTATCATTATTATTATTATTATCATTATCAACGGGAAAATCGGGTTTTCTAATTTCGAAATTAGAAAATTTTTTTATTAATAAAAGAAAGATCGTGCTTTGAATAATCGACAATTATTTAATATTTTCCAAATTGTTTTAAATTTAAAAAATAGAGAGAGAGAGAGAGAGAGAAAGAGAGGCAGAAAATTTAACGGTTAAAATTTTTATCCGGAAAATTTTCTCTTTTTCCTCACCCTTCCTTTCCCCCGCCTTTTTTAAATTTTCGTACGTTCGAAAAAAAAAAAATTCAAATAAGTAATAAGAATTAATAATAATAATAATAATAATAATATTGTTTTACCGTTTCCGCGAAAAATACGAAGAAAAAAAAAAAAAAAAAAAAGAAAATTTGAAAACGCGACGTCGGAAAATCAAATGTTTTTCTTTTAACCGTACGCGGTAAAATCCCGACGACGACGGGAAAACAACATTAAACCAAAAAAAAAAAAAACCCGAAATCCCCGTATAAAAAATTATAAACGTTTGACGATCACGTCGGCACGCGAAAGGAAACTGCGCGAGGACCCTCACACAGCATCCCGGTCCGGCCGGGATGTTGCCCTAGTTACCACCTCTTCCCTCTTACCCTTACGTTAACGCATGCGTATTCTATACCCTACGGTCCATCAGAGTCGGAAGCCCGGGAAGCACATGTTCGGAGTCATCTGGTGGTGTTGCCCCGCTTCAAAACCCTTCTTTTTATCCGGGGGAGAGGGGAAGGAGGGGAGGGGGGGAGAAATCTCTCAATCCCCGAGACACCTTTCACTCACGATTTATATTATTATTGTTTTGACGTCTTTTTTTTTTTTTTCTATCGAACCTTCGTGTGCTAAATTCATTTACGCATTTTTTCTATTCTTTACTTCTCCTCCTCCTCCTCCTCTCTTTTTTCACTACTTACCTCTCTCTCTCTCTCCCTCCCTTATTTGTTTCCCCTCCTTATTCATGTTTCTCCTCGATAATATTATTTCTTTTTGTTCACCACCACAAATCCTTCCATAAATTCTTAATGTTCTTCAATTTCTTTTTTCAAGTAGTAAAAATTCATAACAACGGTAAAAACGCGAATCTAAATATCATACACATATCTGTGGATACAAAAAATAATAATAATAATAATAATAAAATATGATAAAAACTATAGAATTCATAAACATAAACATAAAAAAAAAAAGAAAAATTTAAATGGGTAATAAACCTTACTTTTAGTTTTACTGCTTAATTTTTTTTTTCCTTTTTTCCTTTGTTGCTAACCCCAAAACGTTTTCCTTTTAAAATGAGTTTTATGCTTAACAACAACAACAACAACAACAAAACAGAAAAACTAAAAACTTTGAAAAAGAGGTTAAAAAAAAAAAAAATTGTTTTCCCCTTGGGGAGGAGGAAGGGGGAGGGGGGGAGTAAAAAGACGACCGTGATATCATATTTTTTAAAAGTTTAAGGTGAAAAGATACTAGGCACACGGCCTAGTACTAGACGTATAATACTCCCTCGGGAATCCCGAGGGGTGGGGGAGGGAAAAAGAAAACAAATAGCCTTAGAGCTAGGAAAAAGTTTTTAATTATAAATATCGGACTAACGTGGATGACATTAAAGGTAAATCGATTTTTTTCTTTGTAAAGAAATGAAACGAATTTTGCCCCGACGGTCTTGTCTGAACACCGCACACCCGCACACCCCCACACCCTGCATAAGAAGACTTGGAAAAATAATAATAATAATAATATATGTACACATACGTACAAATAGAAATGAATTCCCCGAGTTAATTAATATTCAGTCGTGGAATTAGTAGTAGACTTTGTAAATTGATATTTTCCGTTAAAGTATTGCCTTTCGGTTTATAAAATTATATTTATTAATATCAACGAAAACTCGAAATTTTCTTCTAATAATAATAATAATAATAATAATAATAATAATAATAATAATAATAATAAAACAAAAATTATTTATACGATTTAACTTCTTTTATAAATTTCCTCCCCCTCCCCTCCCACCTCCCCCCACATTATATAAAAAAATTAATAATAATTCATTTTTAATTTTGTTGTTGTTGCAAAATGAAATGAAATGAAATGAAAAAAAAAAAATCCAAAGTATTTTCAAATATCTTTCGGTCCAGACTTTTCTGCTAATCCTTCCAAAACGTCTTCTGCTTCTTCTTTTAAATTTTCCGCCTTTTCCATCAATAACAACTTGAAAAAAAAAAAAAAAATTAATTAATAAAAATAAATTAATGATAATAACTATATAATTTTTTTAATCGATAATTTCCCTCCCCCTTTCCTCCCCTCCTTACCCCTCCCCCCTCCAACAGGCTTAATCGAATTTATACGAATGAATTAATATGTAGTAGCAGTGGTAGCAGTAGCGGAAGTAGTAGCAGTAGTATTAATAATAATAATAATAATAATAATAAGTTACACTTTACCTTTGCTGCTGCTATTATTTGTGACGCGACCTTTAGAGACAAGTGATCAATCGATCGAACTAAATCTCCGGCTTTGGCATTCGCTAATATTTGCAAAGTCTTAAATCCACCTTCGTAAAGCTGTTTAGCTCGACCCTAAAACGAGATTAACCAACACTTTTTCAAAAAAAATTTATTAAATCCGCCATTAATAATTTACATTAGGAAAAGCAGTGAAATCGATTGTATTACGTTTTTTTTTTTTTTTTTTTGAATTCGCTTATGAATTCTTAAAAACCCGGCTGATTAATAAAAAAAAAATAAAAAAATAAAATGATGATGATGATAAATCCGGCTTTTATTTAAAAAAAAAAAAAAAAAAAAACTTTTCTCACCCTTTTCACGGCGGGAAGTTCCATTAACGGAAGTAATTCGGTTGAACAGCAATGTGCCAAACGCGGCGCAAAATCCGTCAGCAAAGATTTAAAAGACCAAAATTTTTCCAATTTTTCGCAAAACCTGAGTACGCTGTTTGCGTAAGTTGCTGCCGACGTCATCAAAGTTTGAATTTGTCCCCGGGGTAACTGCAAAAAAAAAAAAAAAAAAAAAAAAAAAAAAAAAAGGGATAACCGGATTAGAAAACGTTACTTATACACGAACAAAACTTTTTACCCTCCTCCTCCTCCTCCTCCTTCTCCTGATTTAACATTTACCTCAAACAATGACGCAACATCCCACACCGTATGTTGTTTCCAAAGCTTGTTAAGCATGAGCGATATGTAAAAACGATTAATTACGATTTCTGGTATCGCCTGAAAGGTTTCCACCACCCCCCGGAGAACAAAAAAAAAATTAATTAAATTAAACTGCTCTCGTTGAATGATCTTTTCATACGAAAAGAAGACAAAATAATAAACCTTCGGATGAATTCCCATCGCCAATTTTGACATGGCAAATTCAGTGACTCCGATTATGTTTGCCGTGTGAACTTCGTTCGCGTTCAACTCCATGTAAACGTTAAAATAAACGGAAAAATTCGGTTTGATCTGTGCGATTATGTCGGGCGGAGTGACGAGGTATAAAAGATGTAAATTCGTTAATAATACCAAACTCGATTGAGCTTTTACGAGATCTCCGTACAATTCGTGAGCTTTGTCTAAACTTAAACCCCCTAGAAAAAAAAAAAAAAAATACAGTAATAATAATAATGGGAAATATAAAATTTTGATGACGGTTTCGTGGAAGCAAAAAACAGAGAGAGAGAGAGAAAAAGAGTTTTAAAAAATAAAAGAAAATAATAATAATAATAATAATAATAATAATAATAATAAAAATTACTTCTTTCGTGTTAAATGTAAAAAAAAAAAAAAAAAAAAAAAAAAAAAATCACTTTAAAATGGAAGCAAAAAACAATAATAAAAATTTATGGCGGAAAACTCAACAAAATACCTTTCATGGCAGCTCGTCCCAAGCGACTTATCGTTAACGGTGAGTCGTTAGAAATTTTTAAAGACTTTTTAGTGTTGGTCGCATTATTCAAGTCTAATTTACTAATGGAATTCCCTTCAACGTCCTTATCCTCGTCTAATTCGATGCTTTTTATTTTTAATGCTCCCTGTTTATATAAACTCGAAATGCACGAGTCTGTCATTTTTTTCGTGTCAACATTCAATTTATTCGCCTTGTTGTAATATAAAAAGAAAAAAAAAAAAAAATTTTTTTTTACAAGCAATTAAATATTTAAAAACAAAAACAAAAAAATTTTTTTTTTTTTTATTACTCCTTTAAGTGACGTTGTAGTTACCTGAACGTGAAGTAAACTACACTTGAGTAATTCCCTAAGTGATTTCCTCGTGGTTGCCGTTCCCAAACCGATGGATGACAACACGAGGTTTTTGCAATTTTCCAAATCTATTTTACTCGTCGTTTGATCCATCGGCGATTTCAATAAACTTTTCACCTTTTCCAAATCCGTTATTTGACACATGAGAAAACTTTCACCCTCGGCACCGTAACCGCTTCTTCCGGCTCTCCCGACCATTTGCTTGTACCTGCTTAAACTTATGAAATCTTTCCCAACGTACGGAGATCTTAATATGACCTTAAAAAAAAAAACTCTATAAAAATAATTTCTTTATGAAAAGAAAAGAAAAAAAAATTTTTAACTCACTCGTTTGGCTGGTAAATTAACTCCGACGGCTAATGTCGATGTACAGCAAATAACCGAAAGGGTACCATCCCTAAACGATTCTTCCAGAAGTTTTCTTTCTCCAGCAGTTAAACCCGAATGATGATACGCAACTCCGAACGGTAACGTTTTTTTTAAAACTGGACAAATTTGATCATTCGATTCCGATACTAAAGCACGATACAAACTTTTTTTTTGCTGTTCTTTAATTTTCATCAAATCCCTACGGAAAAAAAAAAAAAAAAAAAAAAAAAAAACAAACCAAAAATTAAAATCCGTTAAATTTATTCTTAATAATATAAACAAAATGGTCGTCTACCTTGGTAATATTCTGCTCAAAAAAAAGCAACGTTTCACAATTTTTTTACTAGGACAAAATATCAGACAAGAATCATCAGGTATAACTTCTTGAACTAAATCGGAAATCCCGTCAGGATCTGTCCCTGAAAAATTTATAAAGCGTCAAATTTTTTATAAGTAATTTAACTTCCCGTGTGTGTAAAGAGACAAGTTTCAACAAGTTTGATCACACACCTTCAGCGGATAAAGGTAACTTCCTGCATTCCTTAACTCCATTTTCCGAATTCCAATCTATTGAATATATTTTTCTATCACATTTAATGTATTCGTTTAAACTAACGGGTCGAAAATTTCCAACGTAACATTCAGCTTTTAAAAATTTTCCTACTTCTTCTAAATTTCCAATTGTTGCAGTCATACCAATTATTTGAATTTTATCTGGGGGAAAAAAAATGAAAAAAAGGGAAAAACTTAAAATTAAAATCCAAATTTCTTTTGATTTATAAAATTTAATTAAAATACCTCTGTTATATATAACTTGTGTCAATAATGTTTCTAATATGGCTCCTCTTCCTTCTTCTGCTAACATATGAAGTTCATCGACTACAATTAAACCAAACTCATGAAGCCTTCTAGCCTCTATGAGACTGTTCACTACAACCAAAGCTTTCTCCATTGTCGCAATTATCACAGATTTTCTCCTTCTACGTTTGATGGGTGGAATGACTCCTTTCCCTGCTGCATATTCTTCAACTAAAAATCCCAAATCTATTGCAAACTGAGAAAAATCTTTGACTTTTTCTTGAACTATTGAAACATATGGTAAAATGAATAAAACATTTCTTTTGTAGCAAAGTATTTCTCTGAGTATTAATATCTCTGCTACTAATGTTTTTCCACCACTCGTCGGAAGTGCATAAACTAAATTTTGATGGTTTTTTACAGATTCAAGGTTTAAGCATTCTTCTTGCCAGGCTAAAAATTAAATATTTTTAAAATAAATAATCTGTAAAAAATAAACTTAATTAAAAATGAAATCATGTTATTACAATATAATTCCTTAATATCTTTGTGTTCTTCATATAATTTTTTTACAGCTAAGGGTAACCCGTAAAATGGTCCCATTTCTTCGTATTCTCCATCTTGTTCGATAACTTTTGACACAAAACTTGAATTTAATTGAGTCCAACCGGTGGTTTGACTTTTAACTAATTCTTGATTTGAAACATTATCTAATAATTTTTGTTTTATTTCATTCGATAAATTCATACTGTTATTTTTTGGTAAAAATGACTGATCGGTCCATTTCATGACATCCGATACAGTCAATATTTCACTATTGTTTTCTTTAACTTTTTTTTTAACTTGAAATTCTACTGGTGAACTATCTTTAAAATCATTTATGTTATTATTGCCATTTTCATTTATTTTTGAACAACTATCAATCACTTGAAATAATTTACTATCAGAAATTAACTCATCACTCAAAAAACAACCTGTATCATTACTGAAAGGATCTTTAAACATTTCTTTTATTTCACTGCACATGTTTGCTAAACTTCCTAAATCATTCGAATCATTTTTACTATTACTTATATTACTCTTTCCTTTTGCGGAATCGAATGTATCTTCTTTAAACAAATCGTAACTAAATCTTTTTTTATGAGATGTCTCACCCAGTGATTCTTTTTTTTTAACACGACTTTTATGCAAATTTGATAAAACGACATTTTCACTTAACTGTTGATCTATTGAACTGCTACTTATATTATTTACTTGATTTTGTAGCAATTTTGATTTTTTTATTGGAGTTATTTCAGAAAAAGAATCTCTGGACCGGCTTCTTAAATGCATTTTCCTTACAGGAGTTGATTGAGCATTCATGTTTTTGCTTTTGATTTATATCGATAATAAAAAATACATATAAAAATTATTTCATTGTAAAATGTGAAAAAATTATTATTCGTAAAAAACACAAAATTATATAATATTAAAAAATATTAACGATAACTAAATATGTACAAATGAATTTGAAAAACCGTTATTGTAACAAGTGTACGTGCATTTTGCGCCAATGCTGCAAACAAAACAAACTTTTCTAAAGCCACGAAAAAATTTGCGTTGTCTAATTCTCCCCATCAAATTTTAAATATGTAAATTTAAATAAAACATTCAAATGTTCATAAATGAATAATTTTAATATTAAATATTAATCTTTATTTTAAAAAATATTAAAACTTAAAACTAATCATCATCTTTTGGCAATAATTCATTTTGTTTATTCTTTAACATATCTTCAGCAATTTTGATATGTTTGTCTCCTAATGCAACCAATTGCTCGGTTATTCTAAATTTTACTTCTGAACCTAATTTTTCAACATTATTTAATTTTTTTGTATATTTCATTTGCACTTCTCTAATTGAATCTTTACATTTGACAAAATACATTTTTGCTTTTTTCGCTAAAAGTTCTCTATGTTCTCTAGTTACTTTAGGAATAGGCACAATGAGTTTAGTTCCCTCTTGTTGAACGTTTAAATTTAAATGAGATTCTTGAAATGTTTTTACAACTGTTCCTATAGCATCTGGAAAACATGAAAAATCTAAAACAAACATCTTTGGATTTTTTTTATTGATTTCAGCTAAATCTTGAATCGTATACGGATTTCCATCGTAAACAATTTTCGTATTTTCTATAGCTCCAATCGATGATCTTAATGATACCTGTTGTATCAAATCATCTTTGAAACTTTCAATAGGTCTATTTATATCATCAATCAATTTTTCAAAATTTAAATATTCATTCAATTCATTTTCATCAATAATGACGGTTTTCTTTTTATCTTTTTTAATATTTTTCCCCTTGGCAGGATTTGTATAACTAGTATGTATAAACTGTAATCTCTGTACATTAATCGGTAGTATTAATTTAAAACTGTTAATTTGGTAATTTACCATTTGTGATGATAATTCTTTCGAACGATGAATAATAACTTTCTTGTAAAATAATCTATTAATAAACGGAAATGTTTTTTTCATCATTTTTACTATTTATCTGTAAGAGTATTCGAAAATTAATTCATAATTAAATAAAATAAATAAAAAAATCGAATCGGAGTCGAGTATTTTTTGCTCACTCGTAAAACAAACCGTATTTTAAACCGAAATAAAAAAATTTAAAACATGAAAATAATAATTATTATTATTAAATCTCTATAATTAAATTAACGTAATTACTATATAACGTATTAATTAAATTTTTAAAAAAAATTTATTAATAGAAAAAAAAAAGAAAAAAATTAGCCTTTAACGAAAGTTGTATTTATAAAAAAAAAAAAAACTAGCCTGAATTGGTTTGCCGTGGCAACAAGACGAACAGTAATACTACCAACCAGTTGGTACGAAGTAATTTAATTGAAATATTAATAAAAAAAATTGTTTTCGAGTGTAACAAATTAAAGTGTTTAAACCTTGAATGTAATATTTATTTAATATGGGAGACGAAAAAAAAGTAATTAAATTATGTTCATCCATTAAATATACGACATTTATGCAAACCATCAAATCACTCGTCGCGATATTTTTTTAACACAACATAATCAAATTATTATAGCCATAAACGTTTTACATTCTTTTATGTAATCATAACAGATTTTTAATTATAAAAAAAAACCTAATAAAATTAATTCAACACATCTTACACAATCTCATACATTTATATTTTTTCTCAAATAATATTTTATTCCTCCTTTTTTTATATAATAAAAAGAATAAAAATGTTAAATTAATTAATTTATGTTTACAGGCATCTGAACATATAAACTTAAAAGTTTTAGGACAAGATAATGCCATTATACAATTTAAAATAAAAAAACACACGCCATTGAAAAAATTAATGAATGCTTATTGTGAAAGAGCAAGTTTATCAATGGCCACTGTTAGATTTCGATTCGATGGTCAAGCAATAAACGAATTGGACACACCAGAAACATTAGAAATGGAAGAAGGTGATACTATTGAAGTTTACCAACAACAAACGGGCGGTTTCAATAAGTTATTATTATTAAGTAATAGTTTGAATAATTTAAATGTTAGTGATAAAAATATCTTAAAACATTTTCCAAACAAGAGGAAAAATTCAAATTTTCTATTGACATTAATCGTGTAATCTCAATTTAATTTCCTTTTTTTTTTTTTTTTTGTAAACAATTTTCTTTTTTAAATAAATAAAAGACTGAATAAAATAACATTCAAAAAAAAAAAAAATATTGTTTATATATATATATATCGACAAGAGATATTTTAATGAATACCATCAGTGCAACAGTATTTAATAAATTTGATGTGTTTGACGACACGAGAGAAAATTTCTTTTAAAAAAAAATCAATTAAATAAATTAAACAATATTAAATTATATCCATAATTAAAATTTAAACATTTTTAATGAATTGTGTAAATTACTTTTTGTAATAAACTATAATTTTCAATTCTAAATAATAAAAATTTTGACGATTATTAATAAAAACGAATCAATTTTAACATGTTTTTACAATTGATTAAATCGATTAAAACAAATTTAAATAATTATACGAATAAATAAAAAAAAAAAAAAGTGTCTTTTTAATTAAATTTAATTTAATTACATAATTAATTATGTTATCGATATTTTTGTTTTTTTTTTTTTTTTTTTTTTTTTTGGTCCCTTCGATATTCAAATTAAATAATTTATGTATTATTTTTATTCAATTAATAATGGCATCCATGAATAAATCTCTTGAGAAAAAATTGATTTTTTATGTTTTTATGTTATTTATTTAAAAATTTTCGTACTATCGGCAAAAAAAAAACAATAACAGCAAGACAGCAGGAGAATCTACAGCAGAAAAATAATAATAATTTTGAGATTAAAAAAATTAAAAAAAAAAAGCTGTCGTTATTATTATTATTATTTTGTACTTAGTTATTAATTGAAATTTAAATTTCAAACGAATTAAAATGAAATGAAAAAAATTAATTATCAAATTGTTTGAGAAAACCGATATTAAAAAAAAACAAAAATAATTTTTTTTTTTGTAATTTGTTTTAAATGATAAATTAAACTCGATAAAGATTTATATATTATCATTGTTATTATTATTATTATTATTATTCGACCTGATAATGGTATCATCCTTCCATCACGAATTTTAATTTATTTATTTGCTCTATTTTCATAATAATGGGAATTTAAACGAAACTAATGAAAATTGTTATTTATTAAAATAATAATAATTAATTTATTATTATTATTATTATTATTATTATTATTATTATTAGTTTTTCACAATAATAATAATAATATTTGCATGAACACAATTCGAATGATGTCACTTATCAATCAATCATTATTATTTATATAACTTCTCGATTGATTTTATTTAATTATATATATATATATAAAGGTTAAAACTCTTGGGAGATTTTAGTATCCTCATCATCTCACCCGCATGCACCCACACCCACTCTAACGAAATTAAAAATTAAAAACGAAAAAAAGGATGAAAATCTTACAACCTTTCACCTTCACCCAGAACTTATTTAAACAAAAAAAAATTGTTATAAACAAATAAAAAATTTTTTGTAAAATAATTTCACGGTCAAACTCAACGAATATTATTAAGCTTACGTATTTATTTATATACGATAATAATAGTGATAATAATAATAATAATAATAAAAAGTGGGACGGCCCACATTCTTCGGAAAATATGATATAAATAACACCCGAGGATTTATCCCTAGGGAATCGTCGGGTAGAAACCTGGAATAAATGCTTAAAAATCCCAACAAATAAGAGCCTTGTCGTGTTTAAGAGTGACCATAATAATAATAATAATAATAATAACAATAATAATACTAATGATAATAATGACAATTAATTAATTAAAAATTTAAAAAAAATTTTTTATCACATCGATACCACATTCCGATTTAATTCATTCATTCATTCATTCATTATTATTATTATTATTATTATTATTATTATTATTATTATTATTATTATTATTAATATTATTATTATTATTAATAAAAAGAAAATTAAATAAATTTTTATATTTTTTTTTTTTTTTTTTTTAATTTACTTTATTCAGTCAATATTATTTATCATATATATTATATATATAAATTAAAATAACGCAAGTTTAATTATAAGGCAGAGCTTTTTATTTATTTATTTATTTATTTATTTATTAACTTATCATTATTATTATTAATATTATTATTATTAATATTATTATTATTTATATTTTTATACAATTTATTTATTTATTTATATTTTTTGTCAAATTAATTAATTAATGGGGGGGAGCGGATATATTATAAATAAAATGCCTACCGTATATATATATATATATAAAATTTTATAAATTATAATCATTATTATTATTATTATTATTATTATTATTATTATTATTATCTAAAATTATAAAATAATAATAATAGTAATATTTATTGTCAAAAGTATTCAATATCAGTTCGTTAATAATTAAGTAAATGTGTGCCTTTCAATTTTTTTTTCTCTCGTATTTATTATTATTATTATTATTATTATTATTATTATTATTATTATTTAGGTTAGCGTATTTGAATTCGTAAATAATAAACACAAATTATCATCCTCATTATTATTATTATTATTATTAACGTAACCTGGTAATTAAAAAAAAAAAAAAAAAAAAAAATTAAGGAAAGCCGCCGCCGATTTGTTTAATGCCCAACACGCGATAAGAAACAATTTAAAATTTCCACGTGGATTTCCACGTGTGCGTGACGTAGTGGGGTGTGAGGGAATGGAAAACGGGGGGTAAACCTTAATGTTTACATAACGAAAACCGGTTTGGTAACTATTTGAACGATAATAAAACAATCCCCGGTGAAAAATTGTTGATGATGATGACGATGACGATGACGGTGATGACGATGACGATGGTGGTAATAATAATAATAATAATTAAATTGAAATCAGTCCATTTCTTGGGAATCTAAAAAATGATTTCTCACTTCCAAATGCGATGCTAAATCGAATATTATGTGTTGAAGAGTCGGATGTTCTAACAAATCCCCATCCGGAAGAGGAGGTTGAGAACGAGGACGAAATTGTCTTCCCTATCGATAAATCAATAAATCAATTCATCATCATCATCATCGATTGTTCGAGAAAATTTTCATTTATAATCAAACCTTACTTTAAATCCTCTGTGCAAATTTAATACCATGTAACAAAATATGTATCTCAACATCAGCAGTCTTAAAAAATCATCTCCGAAAAATTGTATGTAACTATTATCTAAACGAACGAACCAAAATCATCATTATCATCATCAAATAAACAATTGGTTTTGACGTACAAAACAAAAAGGGAAGGTACGATACCTATTCGACACCTTGTAAACAATCTGCTTGCTTCCGTTATAAATTTATCTATGTAAGACTGACACCTTTCCCAAAGGTTAATAGATATATCTAATATGTTACATATGTAACAAAAGGCAGTCAGTGGACTGTGAAGAAATAACGTGAATAAACTTCCGTGTTGTTGATGATCTGATGGGAAGAAGACCGATGGTGCCAATGATGATGGTGGCGGTGACGACAAAACAAACACGTTTTAAAAAACACGCCGCTCGGGTACGACAAACAAACAAACAAACAAACAAAAATGATTGTCTTACCTTGAAACGGTTGTGGAATGTCTTGGGGTGACATCAATATGACCAAAGGCTGTCCAAAATATCTTGGAAAATGTTGAAAAACAAAACTATTGTCCGAATCGATGATGAAAAAAAATGGTTTTCTCGTAAACGGATACAGGTCACCCGGATACAAGCTGGAAAAACCAATGATAATAATAATTATGTATTTGAAATTGTGTGAGAGAGAGAGAGAGAGAGAAAGAATACTATCAATACTACGTACCAATGAGTTTCTCTAAATTGTGTTTTCTTATTCGAATGATCTATCGGTTCTTTTTTACTACTCATTATAACTCCTCCCATGTCGTAACCGACTGTTGAGAAAATTATCGTGGCATTAGTATTAGCATTAATAATAATAATAATATTTACGAATAAATAATAATTACCGTCTTCGTGATGTTTAGATTGTGTAAAACATCCATCGGCGGAAATGTACATGAGTAGTGCACCGTTGGCTGGAAGTTCTTTGAAACCTGGAGAGAGAGAGAGAGAGAGAGAGAGAGAAACGTCAACGTTATCAATCGACGACGATTTCGGGGGGGATGAGGGAGCGGGTGAATGATCAAATCGACAATACCTGAAGCTAGAAATACCATGACTTGACTAAAAGTCGGTTTGTACAATAAATATTTATGAGGATTTTCTCTTTTCGCCGGTCTCTCGCCATTTTCGTGACACAAACCCATTTGATTTTGATACATTCCTCCACCGCTTTTGTTACTCGACATCGAATAATTTTTTTCCTAAAAAAAAAAAAAACAAATAATAATAATAATAATAATACGTACCACCTTTTATAAAAATCACCCCCCGAATAATTCGCTCGTACGCATTTCACAAAATTATTTATATCGAGAGGATTTTCCTACCTCCCCCTTCCTTCCCTCCCTCCCTCCCCCGATCGCGAAAACCTACGCAAACGTTAAATAGTAATAATAATAATAATTAAGGGAAGAAACATACGAATGAAATTCTTCCGGGTGCTGGTGTCGCGTCGTAAATGTGATTGAAATCTTCTTGTGGTTCACGTTCGAGAGTTTGAAGCATTCGAAACATGTCCATCGTTAACTCGCTAAATTTTACCTAAAAGAAAAAGAACAACAACAATAATAATAATAAATAACGTCGCCGGAGAACCGGGGGGGGGGGGGAGGAGCCATGCCACCCACATTCGTTTAAAAGGGAAAATTCGAAGAATTAATGAAGAAGTACATTGATGAGTGCAATCTTGTGTGTGTGGGGGCGGAGGGGGGCGGTTTCGAAAGTGATACCAAATCAATCAATGAAAAGTTTGGTGGTATACAAAAAGTACACGATGGTACAATCTTTTGTGTGTGGGGGCGGGGGGCGGGTTCGAAAGTATGGTGGTATACACGACCTGATCGGCAGAATTTCCAATGATTAATATTTCTTGCAGTGTTAAATTCATAATCGATGATCTTTCGACGGGAGGAGTCGTCATGGGACTCAATCTGTGTGATAAAACGATGGCGTTCGAATCCGAATGAAGAACGCTCACCAAACCGTCAGCTTTTATAAACGATTTGATTTCGTCTAAAACGAGAGTCCATTCGAGTTGATCATCAGGTTCGTATGTGCTTGTATAATCGGCTATTTGCTTATCCAATTCCATGACTAAATCTCTAACGAGTTTCATTTTTTTGAGCAACAAACAAACGACAATGAATCTAGCATAATATCGTAATTTTTTAACCATTAAATCGGATCTGCAAACAAACAAACAAACAAACAAATATATTAATTTACCAGGCGGCGTCGTGTCGACAAACATGTACATGGTTCCACCACCACGTTTTTCCTGGCAATTATTCAACCGGAAATAAATTATTTCGATTTTTTTTTTTTTTTGGCAAATGTAAATAATAATTTTTCCGCATTTTTATTTTTTCTCCTCTCGACTACTACTACTACTACTACTACCATCATATCGGAAAATGGAAAACTTTTTTTTTTCTTTTACATATAAATAAATGTTTCTTACCGATCTTCTTTTGCGGCTCTTGAATAATATGCTCTTCCTCTAATGGCGGCATAAAATGAATATGCTTCGTTTAAATAATTTGTTTCGCTAGTTCTCAAACTGAAAAACAAACGAAAAAAAAAAAAAAGGAAACATCAAAGAAAAATTTACAAAATTTTCCAATCGACAGAGCAACAGCATCACGCAAAAAATAATTATTATCTCACGGTTTTTTTTGTGGGGGGAGGAGGGAGGAAGGAGGTAGGAGAGGAAATGCGGGAAAACGGGAAATTTTTTTTTGCTTGAAACAAACACCGAAAATAGAATGTTGGAAAATTGATAAGAGTTTTCCCTTCTCTTCATCAAAATTTTTTTTTTTTTTTTTTTTATAAATACTTTTGTGTTATTCATTGAAAAGGAAACAAGTCTTCTGCTTTTGTTTTTGTTACTAACTAATAATGATAATAAAGCTGTCCTATTTTAGATGCTATTTCTCCTATTTGCCATCTTTTCAAACCGTATTTAGAATCTAATATTAGCCTGTGCTGCTGTTGGAATTTCCACAGTTTCGTATATATGTCGAACGTCCTTCCAAAATATGCTTGCCACTGATTGTGACCGTACTGTGGTAAATCCCTGAAATTATTAATAACAATTATTATTATTATTACTACCACGATTGTAATTCTATTTATAAAAAAAAAATTTACAACGTTTAATTATATGTACAAAATAATAATAATAATAAATTTACACGATGTAAAAATATTATGTAAAATACAAATTTTTTTCGCGTGCGTGTGTGCGACGACGAAATTTTTTCTATGTTTAACCAAAAAAAAAAATTGGGGGGTGGAAAACTCTCCCCTCTCCTCCCCTACCCCCCGAAAGAAAAAAAAATGAATAAATTAAGTAAAAAAATTGTTTTTTTTTGCTTTTTTCGACAATCCAGTGAGTCACGATCAGTTTAACCACAATAATAATAATAATAATAATAATGTAATTTATTTGTTAAAATTAAACAAATTCCTGCCACGTTTTTCTCTCTCTCTCTCTCTCTCTCTCTCTCTCTTTCTTCTTTTTCCAAATCTATATATACTATAGTAATAATAATAATATTGCGAATGATTTGGATGGAGGGGGGAAAACAATATCGTGTGTGTGTGCGTAAGGGGTTTTTCTTTTTAATATCGACGATTTTAATGGCGCCGTCACGTTTTTTTCCCCCCCCCCCCATTTCGTCGAATGATTTCTAAAAAAAAAAAATGGGAAATTCAAATGGAAAATTTTAAATTTTCTAAATTTTCTCACCTCAATCCGTTGAAAAGTTGTTTTGATTTTTCCAACAAATGACAAAACTCGATGACAATTTTTCGCTCGTGATCTTCCATTCCTGCCATACTGACCATAATGATGATGATAAATTCATGGAATTTATATATATAAATTTAAAAAAAAAAAAAAAATTTCTCTCTCTCTTTCCTTCTCTCTCTTTCTTCTCCTTCTTTCCTTCTTCTTTTCTTTCTTTCTCTTAAACAAACATTAAATTTTTATGTATTTATCATCACATGTTGTTGTTGTTACAAATAATAATAATAATAATAATTGTTGTAAATCAATGAATTCTGCAGGACAATCAAGTGCCATGCACATACACACACACACACACACACACACACAATCTTTTACACACACTAAAACAACAACAACAATTTTTCCTTACAACTTTTCCTTTCTTATTTTTTATAATTATTTCCGGTTTTTTTGTTGTTTTTCTTTTACAAATTTTTTTTTTTTATAATTGTGGTAACACTTATTCGTCAATTAAAATTTCCTTTTCCGTTTTATCTCATTGATAAATAAACTTTATGTACGTTTGTTGTTATCACTATTACTACTACTACTACCACCACTACTCCTGCTGCTGTTGTTGTTGTTGTTGTTGTCGTTACCGATGCTACCACCACCACCGATCCTTTCCTTTATTATTATTATTATTTAATCGGCGTGGAAAATTTTTTTTTTTTTTTCTTTCTTTCCCCCACGATGTTCGATAACGCGAAACGTTTTATATCCGTAATTAAATTATATATATTTACTTTTTTTTCAGGTATTACGATAATAATAATGATGACGATAAAGAAATAAAAAAAAAGAAATAGAAAAAAAAAAGAAAAACGTTTACGGGAAAAATTTCACTAAAAGAATCTCAAAGGCTAGAACCTAGTTTGTTCGACTAATAAGAATAAATACCGTCTTCAATGTATTGATCTGCGCAAGGTGTCTGCCATAATACATGATTGCCACGAGATGAGTCTTTTCGTACGTTTTCAAACACACACGTTTACGTCATCAACATCGACATCTTACGGATTTCGACCGTTACTTTTTATTTTATTTATTTAAAACGACATCTTTCGGTTAAATTTTTAACTAAATTTATTTTAATAAACAAATCGAAATAAACAATGTAACCCCCCGAGAGATGACGTTTAATTTAAATCGATGAGGGGTTGTGAAAAAACGAAAACTGTTTTATTAATAATTATTATCATTATCATTTTCAACCCCCTATACGCGTTCGTTACGTAAAACGTTTAAATTGCTGTTACGTTTATACACGTAAGAAATTAAAAAAATTATTTTTAATGAAAAAAGAGAAACGACGCACGCACGCACGCACGCACTCACGCACACACGCACAAAAACGGCAACAAAAGGAAAAAAAAGATTTTATAATTATTTTATTGCATTTATCACCTTTATAGTAGCAGTAGTAGTAGATGATTCATGAATAAATATCGAATAGAGGGTGGTTGAAAGGGCGGTTTTAGTCATAAATCTATTATTACTCTATAATTAACACCCATAAGCCATCACCGCCTTCTCTATTTTACCCCCCCCCCCACCCAACCCATCATTCTTATCAGAATTCATTACGAAAAAAAAAAAAAACAACCCTCTCCCCTCCCTCTCCCCCAGGTTAATGAAACGTTAAAGACAATATTTTATCATATTTTTTTTTTTTTTTTTTTAATAAATAAATCGACCCACGAAATTTTGTTTTTTTATGAATGTATAATCAAAATAATTTTAACATAATTAAGAAAACGTTTGTTTTATTTTTTTTTTTTGCCAACGTTAAAAAAGGGGCAACAAACAAGAGAGAGAGAGAGAGAGAGAAAACAAACAACAAACGATTAAATTAACGGGTTTTTTAGAAAAAGAACAAAGTAAAATGACGTCACGGTTAAAACGACGGATAAAACAATTTCAAAATATTATTAAAATAATTTATCAAAGTTGATAATTTATTTATTTAACAACAACGACGACGACAACAACAACAACAACAACAACAATCACCGAATGAAAACGCGTAAGTTTTTTTTTTTTTTTTTTTTTGAAAATTTTCCCGTTTTCCTGTTATACGATGATGATGATGATGATGATGTAGTAACATCCGATTTAATAATTTGATTTTGACGAGTAGAAAATTTTCAAAGGTGTGCGTGTGTGTGTGCGTGCGTGCGTGCGTATGTCATAAATAATGATAATAATAAACAAAGCAAACCTTTTGATATAGAAAAGTTTAGTTTAAATGAATGAATAATGAAATAAAATACACGTATGAGTTATTAACCTCGTCGTAAACGTTGTCATAATTCAAAATGATGTTAGATTAACCAAAAATCTACCGTATTCATGAGAGACTTTAACTTCCGGTTGTTTATTACTACTCTCCATACTAGGGATTGTTTATGATTATTATTTTGCACAAACTGGAGATTTTCAACTTTTCCCGCAGTATAGGAAAATATTTTTTTTTTCCCTGGGAAAGGGTAGATAAATGATTATTATTATTATTGTGTTTGTTTGTGTTTGTACGAATCCAACAAACTTGAATTTAAATTTTCCAATTTTATTCAACTTTTTTCGGTTCGACATCATTCGCACCCTAACCCCTCAATTCCCTGAATCCCTGAATAAAAAATCCTCCCTCCCCATTCCATCTCACCCCTCACGTTTTTTTTATTAATAATAATAATAATTTTCTCGAAGAGAAGTATCTTAAATAAAAAAAAAAAGTGTTAATTTAAAAGTTTAACCGGGGGTAAAATAAACGACGCAATAATCTCCCCCCCCCCCTAAACGAGATTCAAATAACAGCCTAAAGTTCATTTCCTACTTCTTCCACTATTTTAACTTTATTCGTAAAAAAAAAAAGCTGAGAGAGAGAGAGAGAGAGAGAAAGACAAAAGAAAAGAAGGAAAAAAAAAAGTTTTAATTGCTTCCAAGGCGGCACCTAACGAGAACAAAACAAAAAAACGGGGGGAAGGGGGAAGGGAGGGATCCAACCGGGGTTAAAAAACCGGAGGAACCAGAATGAGAGAGAGAGAGAGAGATAGAAAAAAATCTGCATTCCGTGTAAATGACTTGGAAATCGGAGAGGATCCATCCCCTCTCATTATTAATGAGCAGAAAACTCATTAAAAAAAATAAAAATTAAAAGGATGAATACATGACTGCTGAACCTTTTCGTTGGGACTTGACCGTTTTCCTCTCGGTTTTTTACAACCGCCGTCCCCCCGCTCACCCCCACAACCCATTCTCTCTCCTTCCTCCCTCGTTTTTGTCTCCGACGCATTTTCATTTTTTTAATATTTTTTTGTTTTTAATTTCTCCTTTCCCTTTCCTCCTCTCCCTTTCCTCCCCTCCCCACAATATATTTCTTAATAATAAAAAAAAAAGTAATTATTATTATTATTATTGTACTTTTAAATAATAAATATTTAAACGTGGCTAATGAGCTTTAAGTGGAAACAATTTTCGAATCGTAAATTTTTTCTTTCTTTTTCTTTTTTTTTTATCATCATCATCATCATCATCATCATCATCATCATCATCATCATCATCATCATCAACATCATCATCATCATCATCATCATCATCATCATTATTATTATTATTTCGCTTTTTGTTTTTTCCTTAAAATAAATTCGACGATGACGAGTATAAAAAAAAAAAAAATGCCACGTGCAGTTATCGAAATGATAATGACGTCAGTGTGACGTCACGTTATAAAATATACATTTAAATAAAAAAAATTATTATTATTATTATTATTATTATTATTATTAAGTTCATCCCTTTGTTAACATTTTACATTGCGTCTTCTTTTCTTTTTTCCTTTTTTTTAACCGTCGTTAACGAGAAAAGTTTTATTATAACGACTTTTTCGACTCGAAGTAAAAAACTCTCTTAATAAAGAATCGTACATACATATATATATATATTTATAAAAAAAAGTTTTTGAAAAAAAAAATGGCGGCGAGGGTGGGGGGGGTAACAACGTACAACAAAAAAAAAAATCTTTTATTGAAAACGACGAACGCACGTCATCAAAGTATCGGAAGTCAAAATTTCCAACTATACTATACCGTACTACAGTCAAATGTGGAGAAATTGAATGTGAAGGGCGCGGAGAAGGGGAGAAGGGGAAAAGGGGAGATGATGGGGGGTAGAATCTCTCTCTCTTTCTCTCTCTCTCTCTCTCATTATCCTGCAATCGCATCCTGTCGTCGTATCTCCTCCATTTTTCTATTCTTATTGTCTCAAATCAGTTTATCACGGTTCGTCTCTTTTAAATAATTATCCAACTTTTAAATGTGATTTTTGTCCTCGTTTAAACTTTTAATTAAATGTAGAAAATAAGAGAGAGAGAGAGAGAGAGAGAGAGTGAGAGTGAGAGAGAGAAAAAAGGAAATAAAAAATTACCTTACATTAACGTACCTAACAGTAAAAAAAAAAAATTTCAAAAACTTTTTTTTTAAGCGAATAATACTGACGTCATCACCACCCCCACTGCTACCACCATCACCACCACCACCCCCACTACTACCACCATCGCCACCACCATCATCAAAACATTTACTTTTCTAATTATTTCACCTCCCTTTTAGATGACTCGATTTTTTTTTTCGTGTTGTTGTTGTCGAGGAATCGCGTGGCAGAAGACAACAAAATGACCGACGCCTTTTATTTTGGTCCATTTCTTATAAACACCCTCAAGCAATCATTTTCATCCCCATCAAACAAAAAAAAATTTCCCTATCGATTATTCACGTTTGATTAAAAATATAGTTAATAATTTTTTGATGATTTTTCCAAACGAATTTTCTTTTTTTTGCTGGTAATAATTAAACAACAGCAAAAAAAAAGGGGGGGAAGAGAAAAACAGGTATTTTGTCCAGGTTTCTTCAATTTAAATTTATAACATAAAATATTTCAACCGAGTCTTTACGGTTTGTGCTTTGCACAATATTTACGCTTTCCGTTCAATGCATCCAAGTTAGAATAAAGTTTTACCCTTTTTTCCTTTTTTTTTTTTTTCCTTTTTTCCTTTTTT